TGCACTTTTATGCATGTTGGAAGGAATTTTAATTATAGTTGAGATTTTCGAAAAAGACATTAAACTACGTTTTAAACACTACGAAACGATATTGGAAATATGCCAAAAATCAAGACGTCACTTTAAATTGAAATATTGACGATTAAAGCGGCAATTGCTTGTATCTCCTTATAAAGGGTTGATGTATGGAATACAAGAAGAAAGTGAACAGAAAAGTGAATGACAAAAATGAATAACTGAATGTTTCAAATAGATGCACAGTGGGAAAGTAATTTTATCGATGCTGGGGTCATCTGATAAAAGGATCTATTTTCACTCTTGTGCACAAAAGAATCTAGAATTCTCTACGATTACTTTTCTTTCAGCCGGATGTTACAAATTAACTAAAATGTTCAAAATGCATAAAACACGTTAAAAACATGATTAAGTACATTTAAAGGTAAGTTGTCGGTACAGGAAGTGTAAAGTGCAGCTATTATTCTTATAGGAACATCGCACTTTCCTACAACCGAACAAATGCCGGAAAAGGGTTTAAGATTATTATATTTATTACTTCTAAGTAAATAATAACTACAAATATTTTCAAAGATTACATGAATTTTGCAGAAATACAAGGATTCGTAATTCCTGGAACAACATGTTAAATATTTTTTTATTTACTTTGGTGTTTCACAAAATTGAAGATTTGCATTTACTCTTGGAACAAAAATTACTGTTACTGTGAAAACCGGGTAAATGTAAGTTTTTTGAATTTTTGATTTATATAGGGTGTTTCACACAACAAGGCTTGCGACTAAGGTACGCACCCAAATATGTATACAAAAGTCACAAAACACTAGATACAAAGAATACACATTCAACAATTATCATTTGTTCTATCAAAAGACGGCATAAATATGATTCTAGTTTATCTATCATAATCACTAACTAACTAAAAACTTTGTAATTTTTGAAAGGGTGAACAAACTAGAGAAGATTATCCAATTTTTCAAAATTTGTAATCGAGTTCGTATCGGAATATGTATTATTGATTGCATCTTACAGGCGCAGGCCTCGTAAAATTATGTAAAACACCCTGTATTAATATAAGTAAGTTTTAGAATTAAAAGTTGGTACTAAAAGAAAAATTACTAAACTAATCAATGCGTTTAATCTGACTTTGCATCCTACTGTTTTTCTTCAAACCATGGTTTATTAGAATAGTAGATTATATCATTAAGAATAGAAAGGAGTCTTTTTTTGCTAAGCTAAAACTGAAAGCCGACTGAGCGAAGCACAAAAAGACCTTCTATTCTGAATGATATATATTATTTTATCTTCAATTTGGACTAAGATTAAACGGCCATCTTGCTATTTTTGTTTTTTGACATCTGACATCCAGGTGACTCGTGTTACACAGTGGCATCGGTTAAATATTGGGTAATAATTTTGTTATTTCGCTTTTTTCGATTTTTTTTTAATAGAGATAATTTAATTCTTAAAAAATCTTGAACTATTTATAAATAAATCGTGATTTCACTGTGTAAAATGCTCCAAATGACTTCATATTTCACTCGACCGAGCCGCCCTTGTGGAGCTTTCAACTTGAAAGTTTCAAGTCCTAGGACTTAAACCGTTCCTATACAAAGAAATACACAAAAACGTAGTTTTCGACTGCTTGAAGATAAATATCTTTTCAATTGCTAATTTTACTAATTTTATATTCATCAGATACCAACCTGGCAAAAATAAAGCCGTACACTTATTGCCCGATTTTAGACAGGTTTAAATAGAGTAAATGAAGCCAAAATATTTTATCAATAATAGACAAACTTGACTTGAGCAGTATAATATTACAAATATAAAAGGTATTTATTTAAGAATTAAAGAACGTAAAAAAAACTGAAATACTTATCACTCTATTTGTAGGAGTTTTTTGTTTGTTTTTCTCTACAACACAAAAACAAAAGGAAACATAAAAACCACCGAAGGGGTGAAACGCAATATGTAAACAAACCCTGACCCTAAAAACCAGTAGTTCCCACACTTAACTTTGACCTATCCCATTAATCTCCGTCACTCTCCTTCTCTTTAAAATTACAAGACAACCCTTTCGCCTCCAACATGCCGATAATGAAATAACCCTGAACGAGATGGAAAGCAAAAAAATAATGACACGTTTGGATGATCCCTGTAAAAACCTTTAAATAATTGCAGTCCGCTTCCGTCCAGCCGCCAACCCCTTGTCCCATCAACAGTACAAATCTTTCATTGAACCAACCCCAAGCGAATTAAACGCTTTCCGGGATTATGACCGTCCGTATACGGAGGGCGGGATTCCCCCTAGGATGCGTATAACTACACGTAAAACGGGTAGACACTAACCCCGCCCCACCTGAACGAGCTCGCCTCGTCTGGGCCAGACGCTGGCTTGGGTCATCGACCCGGCGAGACGCGACGCCACAGACGCCCAAATCATCCATCCCATCCCAAACCGTGATGTGATTGACCTAGCGAATAGCGACTTTAACGTACCCCCTTTTTGCAACATCGCACGATGGGGGTGAACACATTAAACGACGACGAATTGTGGTGGTTTTATCACCAGAAGCTCCAGACTTTCGAAGCTCAGTTTCACGCTCGGGGGTGTCAATAGCCGGGATCAACCTTTCCGTTTTTTGTTACAAGGAGAACAATGTACGGGGACGCCTAGAGATTTGAATTTCTTAGGGTTAATTCGGCATCATAATGATTGATAGTGATTGATGTTTTTCATTTGGGACACGAAATTACTAAATTGTAAGCTCTAACCTGACTTGGAACCAGCCCCGCCCCCTAACTTTTCTCAACTCTCCTTACGTACTAAATGAATTATTAAAATAATATTTACTTCAATCATACTCAGGTTTTAATTACCATTACACGCTGGGAGGGGCAAATGCTAAGTTAGATTGGTCGAAGAGTTCCAACATAAAAACCAAATCGTGACAAAACAAATCAAAGGTAAAGATACAAGTTTTTTATTGTGTAGAAATATTTTATAGTAATATGGATAATAACAGTTATTTACATAATAGCACTTCTGAGTAGAACTATAAAAATTGTATTGAGGTAAGCAACATGATTTATTTATTCTTTCGTTTTGTTTTTAAATAAACCGTTTAAACGGCATGATTTTTTATTTTATAAAAGTTATGCACAAAAATATTAATACCTACAATGGGAGGTAACAATGCAGATTTGAGTGTTGAAGTCACTATTAAAGCACTCATTTGTACATTAATTTCTGTTAGACTACAAAAGATAGAAGACACAAAAAGTAATGTAATAGTAAAACTGTATTGCACGACAAAAAAAAAATTAATTATGAACACACTTTTAATTTACACAAAAACTGAAGTAGTCAATGACTAATGCCAATTTACGTGAATTGAAAACTAAAAAAATGTTTCCATTAATGAAAACCTTGCGTATGAAAATTGTGATTTGAATGAACTTCACCACTTTAACAGAGCGCAAGTTTGACTAGAAATTTGATTTTTTTCTGGTTGTTTATAACGTCGATGAAAAAAATGGTGTTTTTTTTAATAACTGAAAAAATTAATTGTAAACAACAATCTTGTGTTTTCAGTATTTTACAATCTTACAATCTCGCTCACTGGCGAATCTAGCCTTTGAAAATTACCGAATTGCCGGGGCTTGAGTAGGGGCTTATAATTGTACACTTGTTCTACACTAAAACTCAAATTAAGAAAAAATGATTTACATATTAACACATACAACGTAAACAAAAAGTATGCAAGCAAGCGTTTTAAAACTCAAAGTGCTATAAACAATTTCATTGTGTTTTGAGAATGAAATCTTAATTTGTTTTTGCATAAGGTTTTTGAAAACTTAAATGAAAATGTTTTTCGATAAAAATTAAATAAAATGTATAATTGTAATTCTTCAAGAAAAAAAAGGTTTTATAGTGGGTTGCCTTTTGAAAAAAAATAAATAAATATTTTGCAAACTCAAAAACAAAAAAAATTTTTCTTCAAAAACGTCACATTTTTAATGTAGGTAAAATAGTTTAAGCAAAAAACGTTTGGTTCCATACTTTCTGTTCACCTGTTATATGCAAAATCCAAAATGTAACCGCCTTTGTTTCTCAGAAATTCTTTATTCTCTATAGAATAGTTAATATTGTTGCATTTTTATTTTTATGCAATCATTTTAAAGATATGTATTCTTAATAATATTAATTTTTTTTGCCGAGGCTCGAAATGTTTTTACTGGGGCTCGAGCACCGGTAAAAAAGATCTAGATTCGCCACTAACTCGYTCCACTAGCTCGTTCATAATGATTCAAAAGTGTCGGATCATCACTTGGGTGGTGATAAAGGACATCTCTGAGTTAAAAGTTCAAAAACATTGTTTGGTTCTTTTTTCACAAGATATAGCTCTTCAAAGATTTTTTGGCTCTTATAAGACAGATAGATATCTGTTGAGAAAATCACCAATTTGTATCTTATGGTGTAAAAAACATTTAACAAAGTAACACATTCAACAATAAAACTAAGATGTCTACCGATAATATGAAAATTGACAGTTGTTTTTTTTTTAAACCTGAATTCATTTTTATGTTTGGCTGTAAATCGTCTATCACCATTCGAGAGTTGGTCCGACTTTTTTAATCACCCTGTATGTATGATAGATTCGCGATGTTTAATTTTTATCGAGATTTTTATCAATAAGAAAAGATTGTTTTTATTTGTGAAAATTACAAGTTTGTGTTCCGGTTGAAAAAAAAATCCCTGAATTCCAAAGACGTTTTACATTTCCGTTGTTTAAAGCAGGGGTGAGCAGTAAAAGTCACACGTGCTATTATGGCACGCGAAGGCATTTTAAGTATTGTAAGTAACGTACAAAAACAATGTTCAAATGAATATTCGTAAAAAATCATCCTGCAATAATCACTTTTTGTATTTTTCTGACAGTTTTCCACAAAATTATAAGTTTTTTTTTACTTTTGCTACTTACCTTGCTGAAATATCCCACGGTATGACAGCCTTCCGTGTCCACAATCGTCATAACATAGAACAAAAACGGCTCAACGTCGTAATACAGCGTCTTGTGATCCAGAAAAAATTTCGCTAGCAGACATAAATTTTGGCAGTACTGTTTATAGCGTTTCCCGTCCACTTCCCACACACTTATTTTATCTTTGCGATAAACTTCCTCACCGGGTGGGTGTCTCCAGACACATTTAACGACATGTCTTTGCAAAACAGTCCTCGTTTTCATGTACCGCAAACAGTACTCGCAAATATACAATTTCGGTAACCGCGCGTAATCCTCGGGATACGGACTTTGATACCACACTTCCATCTCAAATTTCCCCATTTCGATGCATTTCGTCCCTTTAGTGTTCGGTTGCGTTTTCAAATCCTCCTCGATTTTTTCACTCGCTAACGCCTGTGCGTCCCTGAACAATTTCAGATCATAATCGGGCACGAAATTCGATAAATCCGGTTCGCGGTTTTTATCGAGATTTTGTGGTTTTGTTTCTTCCATCGGCTCTGATTTGAATTTTAAGTGAATGTCGCGGACTTTCTGCAAGTATTGTTTCTGGTCTTGACTCGGTTGAGGCCGAGGGGATTTTCGGTGGAATTCTAGGGCTTTTCGGCGGATGTCTTCGCGTTTCTTGCGTTCGAGTAATTCCTCTTTGCATTGAGGAGGGGTTAAATTGTGATACATAGGACAGGCTTCTAAAGTAAAGTGTTTTTCGTATTTGCCACTCAAGTGGCCCAAACTGTTGCAACCTTCTAAAGGACATTTCCTTTCTTCGATTATTATTATTTCCTCGGCACGTGATTTCGCGTCGTTTCTTTTGTTATTTTTCGTTTTTCCTTTTGTTGTGACTGGAGCTCGTTTAACAGGGGACCGACTTAGAGACCTTTTCGTACTTTCTGTATCTGAATCTGTGTCAGAATAGACGCTTTTGCCCAAAACATGTTTAGATTTTCTAGTACTAGCGGAGCGAGTCAATTTCCTAGTGACTTGTTTCGTGTTTTGGCTTTCTGTTTCTGAATCAGACATAACATTTCTGTCTTTAGCAGTAACAGAAGGCTTTTTTGTATTTTTTTTATCAGTAATTTTGCGATTAGTACTAGACGATTCAGCGCTACTCTCACTATCAGAACTACTACTAGAAGCAGTTGAGGACGTCGCAGAACTAGCAGAGCTAACAATTGGCTTAGATTTAGGAGCCTGTTTTTCAGGCTTTTTCTCCACAGGTTTGGGCTTTTCAACCGTTCTGGCGGAAGCCTTAGGCCGGGGTTTAGGTGCTGCAGGTTTCGGCCGACTTTTCTTGGTCGTATCATCTGATTCTGAGCTATTTTCCGGCGAAAAAATACTTTTTTTCTTATTGGCGGAATCGTTCTTATTTGCATTTTTCCCTACCACTTTCTTAGGTGGTTCTTTCACTTTTGCTCCTTTATTTTGTACAATTTTTACCGGTGGTTTAGGTGGCAAAGTTTTGTTGCTACTGGCGGTTTTAGGTGTGATTGTAGCACTACTTTTAGGTTTTGCTGTGCTTTTACGCTTGACGCTAGGTTTAGGTTTATCTTCATCTTCTGAAGAATAAACCGCAGTTTTGGGGGGTTGTTTGGCGGGTTTCGGGGCTTGCGTTTTGGGTTTTGGGGCCGGTTTTGGGTCCGATGATTTGGAAGTGCTGGTTTTTATGCTATCAGAGCTTTTACGGGGGTTTTTCTGTATGGCTGCACTCTTTTTTAATTCTGATCCAGATTGTTGTTTGCTGGACTCTTGCGAACTGGAAGATTCACTATCACTGGATGATGATGAATCAGAACCGCTTGATGAAGAACTAGAAGTAGAAGAGTCGCTCGAACCGGAAGAGCTTTCAGTTGAGCTTCCATGCTAGAAAATGAGGGTCAAATCGGATCTTGGGCTTATAGAGTGCGAGTACCTTCTTATTGTTGGTTGCAGTCATGTTGGACATGCCCAATAATTTTGCCCCTTTTTCATTAAACAATTTTTTGCTTAGTGTTTACAAAAAATATCAACAACTCACTTGTCAATTAACTGACAGATGATATTTTAAGGTTAGCTGGTATGTGCTGCCATTTGTGAAGACTGCTTGAACTACTCGTTGCATTTTAAGCAAAAACTTGCTTTAAATAAGTTACAAACTACAAGCAAATTTGAGTATTACAGAAAAACGTTAAAAAATTAAATTATACTTTTTAATTATTATATTTTAATTGTATTAATTAAAAAAGGTATTATAGACATTTGTAAATACAGCACACTCTATGAGCGCACTGTATAGTCACAATACAGAAGTCTGTAATACCTACTGTTGACATTTGATTTGACGTTTTATCGATTATTTTATTTGTCAAATCTGAATGTTTTTCATAAATGTGGTTTTTGAAAAAATACGTAATTAGTCAAAAATGTCTTGTCAAATTAATGTGACAGCAAATATACCGGATGTTCCTAAAATACGAAGGTGTCTTTTTCCAACCGATGACCTAAGAGGTAAATTTTTGTAATTTTTTACACAAAGCCAATTCAAATCTTTTATAGGCTCTGATAGCTGGTTGCAATTATGCGAATTATCAGTTTCCCCAACGGGTGATGTAATTGCAATTGCAAATGACCGTAGACTTGTTATTTTAACTTCAAAGTGGGACAGCAGTACTTCACTAAGTCAATTTCAAATTACCTATTCTGGCTCTGTACATGAAAGTGATAACATTAAATCTGTCATTTGTGTTCCTGTTGTTAGCCAGACTAAAAGTTCACATGTAATTTTTCCAGTCAATTTGTTGTTTTTACTATGAAAATAATTCCAGATTGTACCTGATTGGACCTGTGTTTTGCTAGGATTTGAGTCAGGTTTTGTACGATTTTATACAGAAAACTGCGAACTTTTATTAGAGGAACAACTTCATAATGAAGTCATAACAAGTATTAAATGTAGGAGCCAACATAATCCGAGACCTGACATTGCCCCTGATTTACACCCAGAGGAGATTTACATACAGTATCAAAGCACGGTTTGTGTCATTCCAGGAAATCAATTATTTCCGATTTTAAGGGCTTGCAGAAGCGATTTGGCTAAAGGTACAATTAATAATTTCGATTTTTTGCAAGTAATTCAAAATTTCAGTACAAGCTAAAGGCGACAGCTTGGAGTTAACTCAGGGCAATTTAGCCCCGAAAAAATGGGGCTTTCAAGACCAAGCCACTATAAATGACATTGCAGTAGTTGGGGTTAATTTACATGGGACTTTTGATCACCTACTAACAGCGTCAACATGTGGCGGCTTTGACTCAAAATACCGCTCCCAAGCCCCCTACAACCACCTTGTCCTGGCCGCAGGCTCCCGCCCCTTTGTAGGTTTTCACTACGCCCTAGAAGGGTGTCCCCAGCCGGTCTTCAGCGATGTGGCCAAAGCCGTGGCTACTAAAATCAAATCAGCACTACCGTAAGTCCAATTTAGGAAATTTGCTTTAATTGAAAAGAATTACCAGGGGTTGGCTTACCGGCAATAAGGCTTCACTGGATAAACAAATGACAGTTGCAATGCAACCGACGGAAAATATGGGTTGCCGTTTCGGCCTCTGCGATTTGCGAAGGACTTCCACGAGTATTGTTTTATCACCTGATCATAAATTAGCAGCTGTGTCGGATGCTTTGGGACGGGTTATTTTGTTGGATGCGTTTCGAGGGGTCACTTTGAGGATTTTCAAGGGATACAGGGAGGCTCAGTGTTCGTTTATTCAAGTCCCGGATGAAAGACACTCGAAACATCGGATCGGAAATAAAGTCGCATTGTTTCTAGTGATTTACTCGCCAAAGAAAGGTACTGTGGAGATTTTCACGGTGCAACAGGGACAAAAAATTTCGACTTTTACGGCTTCGAAGTTTAGTCGTCTCGTTTATAATAATTACGGTCTGATGGGTTTTACTACAACGTCAAAATCGCGGTTCGTTTGTCTGTTTGATACAGTTTTAATTGATAACGATGGTCAAATTAAGGAAATTTTAATACCGTTTCATTTCGCCTTAAGTGAGAAAAATAATAAAAGGGCTCGTGATATCCACTTGTTTAAAAAGTTGAAACAGTTTTTAAAACATAGTGATTGTGATAAGGAGACGCTCGAAGCCGAAACTTTAAAAATTTGCACAGAAATCAAAACGGTCGAGTTGAAACTACAAACTTTAGAATTGCTACAAAGTGATAACAATCTTCCTGCTGAGGTTATTTTAAAATGTGTTCAATTGTTCTTAGATAATCCCGAACCGGAAACGGATAATTTACGAATTGTTGCGGAAAATGTGCGTGTTTTGTTAGATTTTTACCTGTTTGTGAAACGTCAAGACTTGGATGTAAAAAACGGAAATTCGGAAAAAAACGTTGAAACGAGAATCAATCTAGAGACTAAACAATTAGGCAATTTGCAAAAACTCCTAGATTTAAGCACTCTAAATGAGCAAAAACGTGAGCTGAGAGTCGAGTTTAAACAAACCGATGAATTATCACCAGCTGAGTTTTTATCAGCGTTTGATCTAAATACTATGGGTGTTAAATCCGATATTGATGACCGATTATTGTTCCACATATCGGATTTAATTTTTGGGAAATATCTCCAAAATCCGTATTTTGAGGGGTTGTTGGAACAACTACAGAGTTGCAAAATCCCATCTCAGGATTTGTTCCAGTTGTTGATTTATTTTTGGGTGAATCGGCCTCTTGTTAATAATAAAAATCTGGAAAATGAGATGAACAACATGTTTCTCCTGGTGGAGACTTTGGTCAAAACAGCCAAATGTGAGGAAATCTTAGCTGAGTACAACTCGACGTCGGTTTTTTGGGGCAAAGTGAGGGAGATTTTAGCCAATTCGTCAAAGCCGTTCCGGGCCCTTACCGCGTCAATTGTTTGTAAATTAGTTTCGGGTCAAATGGAGGCGAGTACTGATGATGAGAATATCGAAATTTTGTCACAGGAGAGTATAGAGTGGACTTTACTGATTGGAAAACTGGAAGATGTGTCACTTTTGAACATAATTTTATCAAACAAACCAGTCGCAAAATTCGCCACTTTGCCCAAGCTCAAAGAAGATCATATCGAGATTAGTCTTAAATACATCCTARAGAAGGGCAAAGGCTCGGTTAGTGAGCTTGTGGCCCGCTGGTTGACTCTCTGTGGAGTCGATCCTGAAAATATCGTTCTCAATGATATTCTACTTAAAAAAAATCAAGACAATAATTCAAATACCTCATCTGACAATGACGATGATGACGAACTGCCCGAACAGGATATAATGCCTCACAAAATCGAGGAAGTCCAATCAGAGCAAGTTTTCGAGCATTTGAATTTACTAAAATCGCAATTTCCATACAGTTTGGAGGCTAATATAATCCTGACGAACATGTGTTGGGAGTATGCCCTAGCTTGGCAAAAAAACATCGAAGATTTAGGGAACCTAGAAGCTTGTATTAAATGCCTGACACACATCACTAGCCCCCATATCCGTGAAGGCCTCTTCAACCTAGTCTGGAACACGCATTTGAAGATCATCTTCGAAAGCGCCTCAAAACTGATTAACAAAGTCGGTAAATTACCCAAAGAGCGGTTGTGTAAGCAAGACACCGGACTGTCCGATTACCAAGTTGCGATTTTTTTGGGGATTACCACGAATTTCTTGGATAGTTACATGGATGCAGTTCAACAGAGTCACGGATCGGTTAAACCGATTCTGAATTTTGAAGCGATTTGGGAAAATGGGCCGCAACCTCTCGTCGAATTGGCCCTCCAGCAAAATTCAATAAATTACGATTTGTTGCATCTGCACTACCAGTTGAGTCTGACATTACAGATGATCACCGCATTTTCGATCAAACACTCGAAACCGCTGAATAATTTGTTCGAGAGTTACATGATTGGGATGTTTTTCGTCGATTTTCAAACTAAAGCTCAGATCAATTGGAGTTACACTGACCCTAAAGTTCAAATTTCCCGAACTCAGTTCTTGTTCAAAGTAATTTCTTCGAGCTTAGAGAGTGTGACTATCAATGAGAGTAAAATCTACGCCGCGGATCATATTAGGTGGATGTCCAAATGTCTCGAAATTGCCAAGTTATGGAATCTGGATTTAGACGCGTTGAGACGGTTTGAACTCGTTCAGATTTATACAAATGGTCTGGATAATTTCGGGGATGAGGTGTTTAGAGGGATTGAAGAGAAAAGTAAGTTAGGTCCGGAATTACTAGCTATAGCTGGGAAAAGACTGTCACAATTTTTGACCACTTCGCCGAATTTGTGTCAGAATGTTACAGCGTTGAGTACTGTGGTTACGCGATATATGGATCAATTGGTATGTGAGGTGAAGCTTGCTATTATTTGGTAATTGTTTTTTTTTTTTTTTTAGAATGGCGATTGGTGTGCGCCAAGCGGTTTAGATGGTATCGAGAATTTAGCCAATCGTAGTCTTTCATGTGTAGACGAGACTCAACACGAGTATAAAATAGCTGAGTTGTTACTAGATGGCTGTAAGACGTTACAAAGTATTTATAAAAGCAATTAGGTTTTTTATTGGTCTTTTTAATTTTATGTGAGTTATATTGTTAAAAAATCTATTTATATACGGATGCAATTGTGAATTAACAATAAACAATTTGAACGAAAAGCTTTTTATCCATTCCCACCTAAAATTATTTGCACAAACTACTACTGTCAACCATATTTGACGAAATTCAAAGTAAAAAACGTTTTTGTCAAACTTAGATTTGTTTGGGAATTTATTTTCATATAATTAATTATTGAAGCGAATTTACTTCGAACCAGATGACCTTTTACTTTCCTTGTCCTTCTTTTCGGCTTCTTCACCTTTCGAAGGTTTCTTCACATTCTGCAAAGCCTCTTGTGATTTTGGTTTCAGGGTAGTCAAAGTTAAATTATGGGACGGAGGCATAATTAAATGTTGATAAACAGGAATCTAAAAAAAACTCAATTTTTTTCCTAAGGAGAGTTATCATAATTACGTAAGGAAACGACGTGTCAAATTTAATTTCATGAAATTGCGTCGTCCTCACTGACGGCTTATAGTAATGTCCTAAAATTGGATCTTCCAATCTCTTTCCGTAAATCTTGCTGAGGTCAACATGTGTCAACTCTTTCACCTCCTTGGCTTGCATTTGTTTGAAAGTCATTTTACGGAGAGTTGCACCACCTCGAAGCACCTACTAGAAAGTTGATGAAAAGAAGTCAACCTTGTTTATGTAAAAATCTAACTCGGAGAGTTGTCGAACTTCCAACTCTCTCGATGTCTGGAGGTGTTGTGAATTGGAACTCCTCAGGTCGCGCTTCGTGGCCTTGTGGAACATTTTTCCATTTCTTAAATGTCCCCAAAGTTTGTAAATAGCGCCCGCCAAGCGTCCACATTCGAGCGGTGTAGTCAGCACTGGCACTAGATTTATTGTTTAAACAAACTTGAGAATTTTGGTACTGTACCTTATCAAGATTTGGGCATCATCAATGTACGATAAATACGAAATCGTCATTAAATGCCCTTTGTAACTATTCAAAAGCATCGGCAAGTTTTGGGACCTTGCAATCCTTGCAGCCCGACCCGCGAAAAAATCACCCCACAAAAACGGAAACTGCAGTCTCAGTTTTGGCATGCTTATTCTTTCCCTTTCTGGCTCACAATAGTTTTTTAAAAGCCACGTTTTAATATATCCCACACTGGACCCCGTGAAGAGATAATTATTCTTCTCGTCAGTTGCCATACAAATGACATAATCTCCAGCTTTGTGTATGGCCGAAAATGACGTCAGAAACCCCCCACTTATATGGTGGGACCACACTTGAATCGCCCCGTTTTCGAGCGAAATCAATAGAGTCCCAATTTCGGGATCCATGGGTCGGTGGTTGAGGAACAGCACCGAATGGATGGCAAGTCGCCTCAAAGGCATACACTGTTCGGGCATTACGACAGTTGAGACCCGTCGAGCCCTCGAAGGGATTCGACTCGAAGTGGTCGAGCTTTGCCCGATGAGTTTTTGGACTGCGGAAAGACGGCGTGAAACGTTGGGCTTGACGGCCTCCTCTTCAACTGGAATCGGTTTTGGGGCTTCTTTTTTCTCTTTTTCGATTGGTTTGCCCAAAGCTCGCGCGATGATATTCTTCTTGCTGAATTTGTTCACTTTTGCCTCGACTTTGTGCTTCAGCTTCTTGTACTGCAAGTATCAATACTATTATTTTAGAGATTTGATTATTGTAGAAACGTTCGTAATATAAATGYTGAAGGAACATGTGTTGAATTTTTTTATTGCTCTTATTTGATGTAAAACTTTTTCCTCGTATTTACACTTTGTGTCTGCAAAATGGCAACAAAATTGCAAGCTAATTTTTTGAGGTTAAATGGTGTAAAAGAAGTGTCTAAAATAAAAATCTGCGCTATGCCTGAAGTTTACTGACAAATGCATGGCCCAGATCCTCCATTATTTTGTGTGGAACAAATTAGAAGTTACAGGAATTCCATACAAGGTTTTCATTTTGCAAACCTGAATTTTAATCCTTGTGGTGGGATCAGCCGCATTAAATTGCTTGTAGGGCTGTCCCGTCTCAAGCCTCCACATTATCAACTCCCCATCATAAGTTCCCGTTACTATGGTCTGGGGAATCCTCACAGCAGCAGCACTGATATCTTCACTGTGCCTCAAATCCCAATTTTTATGAAACTGTCCTCCCGATGCCACAACTTCGCCACTATCGCCAAATTCCGTCACTCTTCTGTTCCAACCCATGACCAGAATCCGGTGTTTTACCCAAATTATGCATTTGATCTCGGCGTTTTGATCAATTTTCATGTTCCGGAGACAAGTTCCGGTGTTAAAATTCCAAATTTTGAGGGAACCATCATGGGCACCGGTTACTAGACGTTGGTACCCGGGATCAAAACTTGCAGCGGTTATTTCAATTGGGATTATTTCAGCATGGACGCTTTTCGTGTGGGCTTCTTTGATGGCGATCATGCGGCGGCCATCCCAGGGATTCCAGACGATGATATGGCTGTCGAGGCCACAAGTGACGACTATCTGGGATTAGGGATTACACGGAGGGATTTTGACTGGTTAAATTACCTTGAAAAGTGGATTATAGAGCACTACCGAAACTCCGGCTGTATGCGTGAACCCATCGGTGTGTTCTCCACTTTGTTTGGGACTGAGAGGGATTACGGCCAACATGGTACTCCCTATGATCCATTGCCGACTCTCGGGATTGTAAAGTGTGGTCATATCGCTATGCTCCCCTAATTCCTGCGGGATCCCGAGATAGTTTTGGACACAGGTTTGCTTGGCCACATCCCAAACCCTGATACTCTTATCCTGAGACAAACTATACAAAAATTTTGTGTCTTGCAAAATCATGGAACATATGGCCGTATGATGGCCATATAACACCGCAATGGGGTTTTGGGGGACAAACGGGTTCCACAGACGTACCAAACAATCAGGACCACCACACGCCAACATTTGGGTACCATCGACCGAAAAACACCAAGCACCTTTGGGGAGATTGTACACATATTTGCCTTTGTCTTCAGCCAAATCTCTCATCAGGAGCCCCACTTTCTGGCATTCGGAACACGAAATGATACTATTGAGGCGATGGTAGTACTGGATTTGCAAAATCACGTTTGAGTGTTGTTTTGGGAGAATTGTGACCCGAAATCCGTCCACAAGTCCTTTGATTACTTTATCATATCGAACTTCAAGTAATGGTAGACCTAACTGGCTGCGAAAAGGCCCACGAGCAAAGGACTCGATGAAAATAACATGGATGTTACCCCCCATGTCTCCTAGGACCAATTTGGACTCTTCGTTCGGGTCGTCACTGAACCAGTAGTTCATACTATAGATAGCCCACTCAATTGATGTGAAAATAACTCTCAATTCAAATTTTCTCGCACTGGTGTCGTAAAATCTCAAGTCTCGTTCAGTACTCGAAGTACAAACGACACTGACATCAGGTAGGGCCACCATATCGGTGACCCAAGTCTGCTGGACTCGTAAATTAGGACACGTGGACTTGACCGATCTTTCAAATTGGACGTCCAGTGACCAATAGTTGATGGTACCATCGCGACTACAAGTCATAAAACTACCATCRTGCCAACTTATRGTCCTGTCGGGGCGCACAGTCGGACAGTATGTGATCCTGTTGATGGTATAGCGATGGTTGCTCTTGACTAGAGTGGCCGCAACCGGAATCGGATTCTCCAAGGTCTCAAACTCGGCTTTCACATCTTTTTGTTCGTAACACAAAATTAGAAATGAGATAAATTCATTCCAGTTGACAAACCCGTTTCTGGAAATTTTGATTAGAAGTGACACATTTGTCAAAATTTGGGATAAGTACCTCGCAGTGTTCATTCGCATGAAAATCACGTTGAAATCCTCGTCGGAGAGTTGGATTTTGCCAACATTTTCGAGGATTTCTTTYAATGTGGGCAAATCRAAACCTTTTCCTGTTTGTTTAGCGAAAATGTCATGGAGGATTTCTAAGTCATACTCATCCAAGCTCTCGTGGAGCTCAACTTTTGATTCTTTTGCCTCATCATCGAGAGATTTTTCCGACTTATCATCCAGGTCTTTATGGGACGACTCTCTCTCAAAAGACATGATTCAACAGGTGATTAAAACTGTCACTAGGGCAACAAAAATGCAAATACGAATGCGAAAATGGCTTTGTGTGGGCACTGTTCTTAGTTTTGGTTGGTTTGAGATAAAAAAATAAACACTTTCATGCCGTACCTAGAAATTATTTCATTTATAGAAAAAAACTTAGTGGATGTTTTCTCAATTTTTACTCATAAAAGCAAAGAAAGGAAGTCTATGGAATGGGGCAAGAAGGGCCAAGTACCCAATTTTTAGACTTTTATTTTATTTTATTTTGTGGTTAGTTTTATAAGATCTGCGCATCCACCATTTTTTTGTTACAAGCTCGTATTGCACCTTTTTTAACTTTGTTCAATGTCAAAAGGAAAAATTTAGTCTAACTTTAAAAAAAAAAAAAAACATGATAAACAGTATGATTTTGGATTACGTTTATAAGAGGAAAAAATTCTTTGATTTTACACCAAAACTGCAAAGGAAAAACATTTTTTGCTTCACCTGAAACGAGCCAATCTGGAATTAAAACTTCATTATTACGATTCAGTGAAAAGAGAAGTTTATTTTTCTCTTGATTTTTGACTTGGAATAATAATGATTATTGTTCTCTGCCTTTTTAAGTCCAATCACATTGGCGGTTTTATTTGTTTGACAACTATGGTAACTATAATTAATTCATTAATTGAATAATGATAGTTTTACCTTAAAGCTATTTCTTTAAGTTGCCATTTATTAAAATTGTTTTTCACAAAGACTTTTGTTATTTAATTTGCTTAAACTTATTTGTCCAAGTGACACCCTCGTAAAAAAATAAAACCTCCAATGTGATGGGATTTCACCGCAGAGAAAAATTATTAGATTATTACCAAATTATTAGATTATTGCCAAAAGATCAAAATCAAAAGAAAAATCAGCTTTTCTTTCTACTGAGTCAAAATATTGAAGTCTGAATTAGAGATTTGCTCGTTTCAGGTGAAGCAAAAAATGGTTTTCTAGGTTTGCAGATTTAGCGTAATGTCAAAGATTAAAAAAAAAATCCTCTTGTAAACCTATACTGTAGATGTTAAGACATTGGAATTCTTGAACAAAAATTTAGAGATTTGTGGCATTTTTTGTTTGTAAGAGGTTTTTATTTTTAATACGGGGTGTTTACGGTACAGAAATACTATAATCGAGAAAAAAAAAACTCACACAATTGTTAGTATTAAGAATGTTATTTAACTCTAAAATAGTGGTACAAGGTTTTAGGGTCATTGGAATTATCTCCTTGTTCAGATAAAACTGTATGGTTGCAACAAATAAAAAAATCGTATCCAATGAAAAAGAAAAGTCAGTTCATAGTTTTGACATGTCATCATTTGATTTGCTTTTGCTTAAGTTTTTATCAAAATTCGAAGATCTTCTGTTTAATCTCCTCCAGCGAAATGGTTTCTAATAGCTTTGATTCGTTTTTCTTAATATTTTTCCAAATTTATGAACATGGTTGACAAAAAATATTAAAATAATAAATTGGTTGTCGTGATTATGATTTACGGTGAAACACAAGGTGATCATATTAATAACGCTAAAGCAGCAGTTCTCAAACAAATAATATAAAATTAATTATTTCTTTTCACAACGTGAAGTTTTGTTTTATATAGCGTATTAGTTTTCTTATACCGTGAATATCATCTCATTTAAATTTCAATCTCAAGTCCGTTAACACTGTATATTTTCCCCTTAAGCATTCCTAAACAACAACGTTTGGCTTAATATAATTTTTATTAATACGTTTGTGCATTTTTTTGTAATGCCAAAAGGTCAGATTTTAAAATGTAAAACTCTTTTTATGAAAAAGAAGATTACGTTGTAATTTAAAGAAAACTAGTGTTGCCTTAAGTGATCAATACCATCACTAGGGCAACCCAACACAAACACCACCACAAAAATGGATCCGTTATACCTAGCTTTGAGTTTATTTCGTCGACGAAAATTCGACAAATGTGCCGAAGTATGTACCGAAATTTTAGAAAAACAGCCCTTAGACCAAGCGGCTTGGTGTCTCAAAATGCGTGCTTTGACCCAAAGAGTATACGTGGACGACATCGAAAGTGAGGATTTATACGAAGGTGATTTCTTGGACGACAACGCTGTTGCAACAGCACCACGACCTGGAACCTCTCTTAAAACAGCAGCACCGACTACTTCAGTCAGGTACTAACCCATCGTGGTGAAAAATTCGCCCAAAATTACCATTTTTAGACCGAATACATCAGCCGGCCGTCCTATATCAGGGGTGGCTCGACCTGGAACCCAAATGAGGCCTGGCTCGGCCCTGGACCGCCTCAAAACCGCCCGGCCGACGAGCCAAACTGCTCGTGCCATCCGGCTAGGGACGGCAGCGATGTATAGTCAAAAAGAAGGGCCTTTTATACAAGTTTCTCGCTTAAATATTGCCAAATATGCGAAAAATTCCTCCTTGTCGAAACCTTTATTTGAGTACCTCTTCTACCATGAGGGTGACATCCGAAATGCGATGGAATTAGCCGTGCAAGCGACGCAGTTTTGCAAATTTGAGGACTGGTGGTGGAAAGTACAATTGACCAAGTGTTACATTGCCCTCAATCTAATCAGGGATGCGGAACAACAAATGAGAAGTGCCTTGAAACAACATCATCACGTTGAGAGTTTTATTAGACTGACTAGAATTTATCTAAGATTGGGTAACTACACTTAATTTAAAGGTTAATTAACCGAGAAAGAAAAATTGCAGACCAACCTCTCTCTGCTGTAGAAATATGCAAAGCCGGTCTTGAAATTTTTCCCAATGATGTTTCAATAATGACCGAATTAGCGCGACTTTATGAAAATTTGAACGAAACTGCGCCTTCTGTCAAGTTTTACAGAAGTGTGGTCATCGAAGATGCTATGAACACCGAAGCTATTGCTTGTATTGGGATGTATCATTTTTATAACAACCAACCAGAGCTGGCTTTACGTTACTATAGGTCCTAAAACACTTTTTTTGTGTTTTAAAAGCACAATTTTACTTTTTTAATTAGACGCGTCTTGGCCATGGGTGCGCATTCGGCGGAACTATACAACAACCTAGGTTTGTGTTGCCTCTACTCGCAACAGCTCGACTTGACCACATCATTATTCCAACGCGCTCTTGATTTAGCAATAGATCCCCTAATCAAGGCTGAAGTTTGGTACAATTTGTCGCATTTGGCTCTTGTAAGTCTCACTTTATGTGCAATTGAGTCGTAATATTATAATTTACAGTCAGCCGGTGATTTAGAGTTGGCTGTGCAATGTTTGAATTTATGTTTATCGTCGGATTCAACACACGCATCGGCGTTCAACAATTTAGCTGTTTTACATCATAAGATGGGGCGAATAAATCTTGCTAAAGCGTATTTTACGTCGGCCGCAAGTCTAGATCCGAATTTGTACGAACCGAAAGCTAATTTGGAATTTTTACAAAATGTTTAATGTTGTTTTGTAATAAATACAGTTTGTGACATGTTTATTATATTTTTACATATTTATAAACCTTGAGTTTTGTGTAAATGTACAAGGAGAAGAAATTAATTACACTCGGAATGGTATCGATTCAATTAATAATTTAATTATGAAAAAATTCAAATTATGAATTGCTATTGTGGCATTCCAATGCAGAATTATTAGGCCATAAATGTGTTCAGGTGTCTTGATTGTGGTATTACTCTAATGGTCGTAAATAATAATTAGTAATAATAATGATCCTTCCATTAATAATAACGCGGTAATTTATGTTTAAAATATAATTGAAACCAAATTCTTATCTTTATGTTTAAAAATAAAAGCAAGAATGGTTTATTGGCACTTCAAGCAAAATTTTCAGAAAATTTTTAAGCGTCCATTAAGTAATTGTAATTTACGACTGACGACATTAATTGCTTAGAATTGCTTTTTAATTAACGTGTGGAAGTTTTACTATAAATTTATTATATATATTTTTTTACATTTCCTTCTAGGTACTTCTGATGCAGAAGGTACCACTTTGGTACTTCATGCCTGGTACTTTGACTAATTGTTCGCACATTATTGGCTCAAAAACATTGATGTTAGCTCGATTGACTATGTCGACTTTTTATCAACTTTTTCTTTATTATAATATAATTGTAATTAATTATTAACAAAAATCATTCAATTTAAAATAAAATAACCAATTAATTAATAGCTCCTCGTATTAATTTATAAATAATAATCGTTTTTAATAAAAATCTTCCGTTTTGTTATACTTAGAATGAAAAAAGAACAAAACTTTTTCAAATAATTTAGGAAGAAAAGGGTGAATAAAAATATTTCTTACTTACATGGTAAACAAAATTTACTATATGACGTAAAAATTAACTTCCAAAGTTTTTAATCAACAATAAATAAATTATTAAAATTTTACGCCCATCAAATATTATGTATTTTAAGTAGTCTGTTATTTTCCCTCTTTATTTATTTAATGATGATTAGTATTAGGGTATCTTTGTCTAAGAAATATAGTCTCTCCATTATTAATAAGATGTAAGAAAATTTTATTCAGCTCACGATGATGTTTTCTTTTATTAAACATTAAGTTATAATTATACATTTTTTCAGTTACTTTTCATAAAACGAGTTAAGCCATAATATGATAGGCACATTGAGCGGTAAAATTATGGAATAATCTTATTAAAACTGAAAATATTTGGTTTGGCAAAAATGCTGGAATAGGTCAATTTTCTTATTGAAAAGTACACATTTTTAACTTGATTTAAAATTTTACACTGTTCGGTTTTTGAGTAATGACGTCATTGACATTTTATAGGCAATTCGATAGATCTTTTAATTGTCGCAACGACAACACCAAAATATTACATAAAGTTTTTGAAAAAAAATCACCAAAAAAGTGAAATATATTAACAAAAGACAAACATACAATTTTAAATCAAGTGAAAATTTTGTATTTTTTAAAAAGAAAATTGACTTGTTCGAGCATTTTTGTCAAAGCAAAATATTTTCAGTTTTATTAAATAGGTAAGATTATTCCGTAATTTTGCCGTTCACTGTATAATTTTTGGTTTTAGTTTGGAAGTATGTCAAGTAATTGCCATCAATCTTTCTGATGATATCTGATAACATGTTATCAAAATATTTCGCAGTTTAATACCCCGGAAGTTATGTAAGTACTCAAGTCGCGAAAATATAAAATAAGCAATATTTTAGATCACCCAGAATTGTGAAAATTCAGTATTTTTCACCTTGTTCGATAAATGTGGATAATAAATAATTAATTGAATTTATTATGGGTCTGGCAATGCAGCCATATCTGTATTTATAAATTCACTTTTCAATAAAAAATGAAGGATGAATGAAAGACATTCGAGTTTTTCTTTCTTGAAGCAATTAAATGCATCGTAGCATAAACTACATTTCGAAGTTGCGAGAGTAAAAAATTTCAGACGCAGGTGTAAACTGTCCAGAAATAAAACTCATTATTGTTTACACTTGATGTTGTTTTCCCCCGTCGGAATGCGTCCTTGAGTTTCCAAAAAATTTCGAGGAATTTAATCGAAAATCAATATTTGGTCAAACACTGCAATCTTTGATAAGCACCAGGAAATGAGTGTTTCTTGGGCAACATCTCCGTAGCTAGCGTAATACGAAGCCCCAGGTCTCGACTGAAGCATGCGGATCACCTTTGGCGGGCTCGCCTCCCATTGGTCAAGCCCCATTTCCTCGGAATGCGGCCCAATCCCAACCCGTACTTTGCCTACCGGCCCCTGTGGCACAAAATTTCGGGAAAAAAGGGCCGCAACACGCGATCGCCCCCAGAACGAGGCTATCGACAATTTCACCATGAGGAATGCCGCGTTGCTCGAGGAATGTAACCTCTAGACGGGTACCAAACACACCTGAGTTGGGTACAGTCCGAACCCGCGCGGGTACCACGGCCGTGGTGGTTCGCGGTACCAGTAAATTTGCGGCGGGGAGTGTACCGCGCAGTGGCCCTGCTAGCGCGTGGAGGTGGGCCCCAAACCGGTCGGGTTCCAAGTGCAGAGTTTGATTGGTCGAGCGCATTCCAATGATGTTTTGCTTCGGAGTGTACCTGACCGCTCCAGAGTTGAAATAGGGAATTTAGTTGAAGAACACCTTTGCCGGTTGATAGAGACAGCGCTCTCTTTGCTTTACGAAAGCACGTGTTGTGCCTTGATGTGGTGCTACTACTGTGTTTGTGAATTGGGATTTGATCCAGAATTGGGAATTGCCTAGGAATTGCGTCGGAATGGGGCAGGAGAGGGACGGTTTTTCGGATTTTTCTTTCGGCACATGGTGAGAATTTTTTCAATTAACGCAATTATAGCATAATTAGAACGCGGCTTTTGCAATTGTAATGAGCGAATAAGTCGAATTAGTTTAAATTCCTGAATTTGTAAATACGGAATTTTTCATTTACATTTGAAATTGTGCCACTGATCAGATTGTTTCCATTTCCACTGGATTTACAGTGAAATTTCGTTATGAGTCGGGCCGGGCCCATCACAGATTAACTCGCCTCTCGCATGGATAGACACGGATTGTTTCATCTAAGCGGCTTTTTAATAACATAATAAAATTATAGCTTTGCAAATTAATGATTTCTGACGTTTAGTGGTAAGTAATGCGGTTAAAAAGTGTGGGAGGAGTAAACAATCAAAATTACATTATTGTTTTGATTTTTACTTGAGCCGTCCAACGTGCGTTTTCAAACAAAAAACCTTTTATCTGGGATTATTCTACACAGTTAGTGCATTACGAGGCATTTGTATTTAATTGCAATTACAACTTGATGGTCTTTATAAAAAATCAATCGAATCGTACTCATGTTTGAATTATCACTTTGCTTTTACGTTATCTGTACCTATTACATGTTATTTGCTTTTTCTGGCGAAAATAAGTTTTTGATAAGTCGTTAAAACAGAGAAATTTTCGTGTTACACTTACTTCCTACAAAGTTTACTCATTCGGTTATCGTTTGAGTCATAGTAGGAGGCGGATTTATTGTTTTGTCACCTATGAACAATTCATTTGTGGCAATAATAATAAATTACGCTTTTGTAAATATTTTGAAATATTGAGATGACATAATTTCGTAGTACGCATTTTTGACACTTTTTTTAAATGCTTTTGTGCGATTTTTAAATCCGCCTGCTTGGCTACTGGTAGATAAAGATCATTAATATACAGTTTCATTAGTTAAACAGTGAGAGGCAATAATAGGCTGGTCCAAAGTATTGTTTTTTTATATTACAAAAATACTCCAAAATTTTCTTTCTTTCTAAAATTTGGTTAAAAACTTTTACTCGTCATTACCCAGAATATGGAATGAAGAATCTCTTTAGTTTTTGGGTAGCATCAAATAAGTATAATAAGTTTTTTGTGTTATACAAGGTCTAAATACCAAATAATACTTTATGTAGATATTTAAAATAAAATAATTACATATTTCGAATTATCGAGAATTTGTGTTATCAAAAATAACTGGAAATAAAGAAACATACGATTTCAAATCAAATGTTAAGGTAATATAATATAGAATAGTTAATAGAATGTTATTATTATTGTTATTATTGTACGAAAAATACATATTTTTCAACTAACAAAGTAATTTGACATTACATGTACATGAGTAAACTTAAGTGGTGGCGATAAATTTGTTAATCAGGGGCTGCTTAATTTTTACTGTTTTCTCACACCGTAATTATAAGGGCAAATTGCGGAATTAGACTCGTCAAATGGGTTCGAAAAATCAAGAAACTCGACTTTTCGAAGTTAGAGTTATTGAATAATAAATACATATTAGGATTTCGCAAAATTTACGGTAATTTATCCTGAAATTCGAATTATCGAAGATCAACTGTATTTAAAAATAAGAAAATTATAATAAAGTCTGTTTTTTTAAATGGAAATACCAAACAGTCTTAACGTTGGCACCACTAGTAAATTCATTCATGGTAATTTTAATAAAGAAAGTTGGCAGTTCCGGTTTTGTGAATTAATTTGAAAACAATTTCATTAACCGTCAACACAAAAAATCGCCTTAAGAAAATTTTGAGACGAAACACTAAAAAAGGAACAAATTCGGTATCACTAACAGTTTTTAGAAATTTGGAAACGAATAGTTTGCAAGCAGGAAGTTAGAAAAAGGGCCCGTTAAAATGTAGACGCAATGTGTAATACGGGTTTGCGAAACATTCTCAATTTTTAGCAAGAAATTGACACGAATACAACATAAACATGAATGAGAAAGAATCTCGGAAAGAACGCAATTAAATTAATGTCTTGTGCATCGTTTTTGAGGAACGAGATGAAAAAGTAACAATTTTGAAACTAAAGCTGGAGACGAATTTATAAAATGCATCAAGTTTGAGCTCATTTCAATAAAAAAAAATCATTGCCAATCATCATAATACCTACTTGTATCTTTTGCTAACTAACTTTTTTCGGTATATAGGTACATCCTTTTTCTTCAAAGTTTTTGTAGCAAGAACCTTATTTTTGTCCACAACATTGTACGTACTTGCGGTGTGTTTCTATCAAAATTATTAGCACTGAATTCTGTCTTTAGACCTTATGTAATGATGTCTGTTTCCAGGTATTCAATTATAGCGCTTTCAAAGAGCAAACAGGCACACAAGACTCATAAAAGTAAAAATTTTGACAACATCTCTATTTGAAAACATAACCATAATTTTTTAACAAAATTTCTGGGGACAAAAACAAAGAGCAAACATAATTTGTGGCTATGGAGACAAGCTGCTACCAATTTTTTCACCAAACTTTTGACTTGGTAATTTCCATTTAAAGAAAAAAACGGACTTTATCAAGATCAATGATCAAACACACAAGTTTGAAAAAGTCGTTCATTTCTTAAAAAACTATTTTTTTAGAGGATGTGTCAAGCTTCACGATTGTAAAATACGAGTTGTTTAATAGCCTTTAAATAGTATTAAAAAAAATAAAATAAAATTAAAATCTTGTGTCTTATATGCTCTAATCTTCTTATTACTTAGTTACTTAATTTTAAGTATTTTCTATGAGTTTTTGAGTCTCTTTGTGATTACCTACTTTGGACGATTATATCTTATAGAATTCTTAATAAATATTCTGTTTATTTCAGATAAAAATCAAGATTTAAGCAATTATTGGTTTATTTCAGATAAAAATCAAGATTTAAGCAATTATTGGTTTATTTCAGATAAAAATCTAATGGCAGTATAAGTTTCAGGTTTTTTATAACAAATTTTTAAAACATAATTTATTTAAAAAGTTACATATACCTTAGTTGTTGTTCTTTACATTTTTGTTTTCCATAGTCGCTGTTTATCTATTTTTTTACTTATAATTATGAGATAAACACTTCCGCAGTTTGTTAAAAAATGTGCCGTCTTTTGGATAATGTGGTATTGCGTTAAATAACAATATTTCAGCAAGTTGTAAAAATCTGAAGCACCATTAAAGAAACTCGAAAATTTAGAAAAAAAGCTGAAAACATTGTTAATGATACATTATAGTCCAAAACACAGTTGCAATAACGCGGACAATCAAAAATTCCGACTTTTACATTTATTGGTGAAATTTTTTTCTCTGTAGTACCGTTTTTTGTTTGGAATTTCATTCCATCACCAAAACGTCTTTCCAGGCCTTAAAAGTTCATCAGTTACCATTCTCGAGTTGCCTCCAAAACCAACCAATACTCCACGTGCAATGACCTTTCCCACTTCAATTCCCACTCGGCTCAAAACATTTTGTATTTTTTCCTCAATGTACGGGGAAGCTGTCACCAAATCCTTGAAAAATTTTTCAGTCATGACGCGCTGACATTTCTGTTATCGTACGATTATGTCAGTCTACTTTTATGATGAATGAAACGTAGAATTCAACAAACTTTTACAAATTAGCATTGATTAGTGCATGTAAATACATAGTTTGGCGTATTTAGGTTAAGATTGCAAAATAACTTTGCATAATTTCGTTAGCAATAATATGCTGTGCATTCCAAGAGATTTAAATGTGTAATATAAAACCCAATCCGACATGTGCTCAACCTTGAAATAACTAAGCGTTTTACGATTTCAATAAGCATTATGTTAGGCTAATGCATTTTACGCTCGTATCATTGTCTTTAATGGAGTCGTGTCATAACAAGAGAAATTTTTCCCATTTTTGTGCAGTCAAATTCCCAAATCTCTGATGAAATACGGGAACTTATTAAATGCAACTTTAATCTGTGAGCTAATGAGGGGATTATTACACCGGACTTTATGTGGCTTATTACGCGTCCCATCGCCTTGTAAGTCTTCCCTACAACTGACACTCGTGCTAAAAACTGTAACAAATCTTCTCTATTCAAATCAACTAAAAGGGCATTAGAATATTTCCGGTCGAGTCCGGGCGATGTGTTGGCTTTTACGGCTCACGTACCGTCACAGCCTAATGACAAAGGAATGTGGTTTTACAATTATTTACTTATCAAATGCATTTTACAATAGTAATTACATTAATCAATGGTCGCGTTTTTGTACTTAATGCCGCAGTTAAACCATCGGAATGTGGAAAACGGCGCGCCGGGAAAAGCCTCAGTTTCACTGCAGATTCTTTCGTAATCGAGCTTAATTAGCGCCGAAAAATATATAAACACAGTTCTTATCGTTGCTCTTAGTGGGACACCCTTATTTTTGCGGTTATCGAAACATGGGATAATGAAGTGGCAAGGCCGGAAAGACCTTATCACAAATTGGAAATAAAGTGGACGTTAATGTAACACAGTTAGATAACGCAGCGATTTTGTCGCAAAGCCAACGAAGTAAAGGAAGTTAAAGACAACACAAATTTTAAACATATTCTTATTTAAAATTGCATAATTACGGATTACTGCTCTATGAGGGGGTGACCGATTGAAGAGCTCTGACATGTGAAAGTGTCGTGTATCTAGTGACATTCCATTTGAAAAAATTGGAAAATTTGATGATGTTTTTGTTCTAAAATTAAACTGCAATGTTTATGTAGAATAATATTATAGAAATAATGAATGTATAAACAATTTCGGGTTTAAATTTAATATTAGACAACAGGTTTGTTCGTTTTGTACGAATAACGACATCCTGAAAGGTAAAATTTTGTTGATTTTGTTATAAATTAAAAAAAATACAATCTGATAATATATTTTTTATTTCAAACCAACAATTTATTATTAATTATTATATGAGCATTTTGTACAAAATAAAACACCACTGTTGTTTTTTTTATATACATATTTTGCAAATGTTTATTAATGTAAGAAACATAAAAAA